CTCAAGGTCCACAATCAAGCAGATGCAGGAGCTACCCTGAGAAGAAGCCTCATGACCTAAGCAGCCAATATATCTTGTAATGCTTTTCGCATAATTTCTAGAGTTTCTTGCAAAGGACTGCATTCAGGGAAGTCCAAAGCATGGCACCCTCATCAGACATTTACAGCTCATTCATACTTCCTTTCAGTCCAGATGCAATTTACCAGTCAGGGGTCATTTTTACCACAAGCAGTGTTGCCTAGCAATATAATTGATGCCTACCATCTACCTAGTTTCCAGGGTAGCAGAGCTAGGTGGTTAAACTAAACATTAGATTCTCAAGTAGCAAGGGAAAAGGTTTGTTAACCCTTTTGTCCCAATATGCAACAGACCCAACCAGGGGCCTCACGTGTTATAGTTATCAAAATATGCTTGTTCATTCCTTTAACAAGTATTTAAGAACTTATGCTATGAGTCAGGCACTGTGCCAGACACTAGGAAGACAAGTTAAGGAGATAAGGTGTTCATCTTTATATTGTTAACTCCACCTGTGACGATGCGCTTAATTCCTTTAATTGTCTGAAGAACTACTTATCCTTCAAAGGTCAGCTCAGATATCATCTCCTCTCTGAAATCCATATACACTTTACTACCCTAGGACTTTGTATTTATTGTCCTGAATTTGTGGGTTGGTTTTATGAATCCACGAATCCCCTAAAGTAATATGCAGATTTTGTGTGCATGTGGGAATATGAGTTTGAAGAAAGGACAAAAGCTTTCGTTAAATTTTCAGAGGAGTCTAAACTGTCCTCTCTCCCAACCCCATTTAGAATTTAGAACCATTACTTTTATATAAGCATTAATCATATTTTATAAAGCTTTATTATCATTTGTTTATAGTCTGTATCTCCTACTAGCCCATAAGTACCCTGAGAGAAGGAACTGTGCATATGAATATTTTGTGTCAACAGAATGCTTGCTTCATAGAAGGCTTTTAAAAAACATATGTTGAAAAAATTGCTTATTAATCTTAATAGACTTAGCAGCTTGAGTGATGCTCCTAATGTACATTTCCTAATTTGAAAGGGAAATTTCTTCCTTACGTTAAAGTAAAATCAACCCTTCTTGTTCCTAGCTTTGTCCTCTAGACTTATACATTAAATGTCTACCCTCTTCCATATTGTAATTGCCTTTTTTTAAAAAGATTGACACATTTTAATATATTTTAATTTTATATTGATACAAAAGCAGTAAGGAAGAGATTGAGAAGAATGATTATTAAACAGTAATAGAGTGAACCACTTTTATACTTACAAGTCCCCCTCCCCCCATCACTGATCAAATAACAGACCAGTCCATGATTCCACTTGCTGGTGGTATTCCAGGTTGAATGTTTGAGGGTTCCCTGCGGTTTGTTGTTGCTGGTGGATCCACAAAAACTGGGCAGAGTCCTGTGGTGGATTGGAGCAGTGGAGCAGCTGTCAACCTTTGTGGATCTTAGCTTTGTGCTGGTACTTGAGAAGCCGGGTAAGGTGGTGATAGAGCTGCTGCCCAGCGGCCTGCGTCCACAATTCACTTTCCACAGACTCCAGTGGGAGAAAGTGATGTGTTCACCTATCATTTTCTTACTGGTGGGTCTTAACATACAATGTAATATTAGTTGCAAGGGTACCGCTTAGTGGTTTAGCACTTTCATATAACACCTGGTGCTCATCACGACAAGTGCACTCCTTAACCCCCATCACTTCTTTAACCTCCCCCCACTCTGGTAATAACCATCAGTTTGTTCTGTAGTTAAAAGTCTTTTTATGAGACTCATTTGAGGAGATCAAAGAAAAAGGGTTACACGGGGGAAATCATTAAAAAACAATACATTTGTGTCTTAAATATTTTAACTTAAAACATGCAAATATACATTAATTTACTAATATTTTACTATGGAACCAATATATTTTTGTTAAACGTGACTCCACTATTGTCTAGCTTTTTTCACTGTTAACATGTTATCCAAGATTCATCATCTACAATTTTCAGTTTGTTTCTTAAAACTTTTTTTAATGTTTATTTTTGAGAGAGAAAGAGAGCATGAGTGGGGCAGGGGCAGAGACAGAGAGGGAGACACAGAATGCGAAGCAGGCTCCAGGCTTTGAGCTGTCAGCACAGAGCCCATTGTGGGGCTTGAACTCATGAGCCGTGAGATAGTGACCTGAGCCAAAGTTGGACGCTTAAGCAATTGAGCCACCCAGGCGCCCCTCCAGTTTATGTTTCTTTAGAGTAGAATGAGTCATTCGACACTTTTAAAACCTTGGGATTATAGAATTTTTCTAGAATTTTACTCTTTCTCTCTCTCTCCAATGTTCTATAGTTATATCTTCTCACCACTTATTGGGGTTTTGTTTGTTTTGTTTTTTTGTGTGTGTGTGTTGTTTTTTTTTTTACAACCGGCTTTCATTTAGTCTGAAATTTTTTGTTTTCAGAGGAATAGCAATTCGTATTTCCTTGGTTTATATACTATTTAATTAAATTAGATAACTAAAACAACATATAAGTATCATAAATAGGTCTGTGATCAAATACAATTGATTCTGAATGACCATGTGTTTCTGCTGATAGAAGCAGAGGTGTGCAAGTATTGAGACTGCTTAAGCATTTGCACTGCTCGTGGGCATTAAGAAGACCACAAGCATGTTTCTGTTTTGTTTTTCTCAGGATTACTTATTTGGAAGTTTCTTCATCATCTGGCCCACATTTCTTCTCCTCTTAGACCACTGATCTTCCTAACTTAGAATAGAATAGAAGTACACCATGTTTGGCTTTTCTTCTGGTAACTTCTGACGTATCTATTGTTGTCCAGGAGAAAAACAAAACTATCAAAAAAGAAAAAAAGCGGTAGCAAATATAAGGGCCTAATTAAGCATAAGGATGTTTTAAGCATAAAAAATAGTAGCGACGTGGAACTCAATTTCTCTCCCTTTGAGTGTGGCCTAGACCTAGTGACTCACTTCCAAGGAATAGAGTATGCAAAGGGAGAAACATAGCCTTTTTACTGGAGAAACCTAGTAGATACCACACTGGCCAAGTGTTCAAGTTGAACAGCACCAGTGATAAGTCATATTGATAGAGTGTACCCTCTGGTAAGATGTACTGAGAGACGCACTTCACTTCTGTGGTATTCTTCCCCAAATCCATAACCCCAGCCTAATTTTGAGAAAAAATCAGACAAACTTAAATTGAGAGATAATCTGTAGAACACCAGACCAGTGCTCTTCAAAAATGTCAAGGTCCTGAAAAATAAGGAAAGACTAAGAAAATGTAACAGACTAAACAAGACTGGGGAAACATGATGATTAAGTGCAGTGTGTTATCTTCAATTGGATCCTAGAACAAAGGGGAAAAGGATATTAGTGGAAAATCTTGGGGAATCCAGATAAAGTCTGTAGTTTTGACAAATCTTCCATGGTTATAAAAGATGTTAACCTTAGAGAAAGCTGGGTGGAGTGTATGTGAGTACTATTGGTACTGTTTTTGTAACTTTTCTGTAAGTTTAAATTTACTCCCAAATAAGTTTATTAAAAAATAGTAATGGGAGAAATCACAAAAGAAAGGGTTAGGTGATTTGAAATCTAAGACGACTAAACCAAATTAAAAGGCAGTAACACTGGGACACCTGGGTGGCTCAGTCAGTTTGAGCGACTGACTCTTGATTATAGCTCAGGTCATGATCTCATGGTTCATGAGACTGAGCCCTTTGTTGGGCTCTGTGCTGACAGCTTGGAACCTGCTTGGTATTCTCTCTCTCTCTCCCTTTAACTGTGCCCCTCCCATTTGTATGAGTGTATGTGCTTGCTCTCTCAAAATAAATAAACTTAAAAAAAAGGCAATAACACTGAAAAAGTAATTTGTCACAGATGATAGATAAAAGGCTAATATTCTTAAAATAGAATATACTCTTTCTTATAAAATTTTTTAAATGTTTATTTTGAGAGAGAGCAGGGGAGGGCCAGGGAGAGAGGGAGAGACAGGATCCCAAGCAGGCTTCACACTATCAGTGCAGAGTCTGAGGTGAGGCTTGAACTCAAGAACTTTGAGATCAGGACCCGAGCTGAAATCAAGTGACCGACACTTAATGGACTGAACTACCCAGGCACCCCAAGATAGAATATACTTTTAAAAATTAGTAGAAACATACTAGTACCTCATTGGAAAATAGCCATTGATCACAAATCACAGAAGAAACACACTGGTCAATAAATAGGACAGCCAGTTCAATCTCACTAGCAATTAAGAGTTGCTAATTGAGAACAGTATTGAGAACATTTTCACCCATTACATGGAAAAGTGATCATATTCAATGCTGAAAAAGGTAAATAGAAGAATTATAGATTGATACAGCCTTTCTGAAAAGCAGTTTGCCGATATGTATTAGGTTTTAAAATATGTATATAATTTGTGGTTGTAATCACACTTGTAAGATTTTTTTTCCCAAGGAAATAATCATATATTATACAAATTTTCTAATAAGAATGTTCATCACAAGGTTGTGATACTGAAAAGCTTGAAACCTAAATATCTATACCACTGGGGGAAATGATCTAAAAGTTTTGGCATACTTATAGAATAGAATGGAGGCATTAAGAGTCATCATATAACTTAAAAAAAAAAAAAAAGAGAGAGAGTAAAAATAAAAGCAAGATACAGTTTGTGTATATCTTCTGATCCTGGGCTGTGTACATGTGTACTGCAGTGGTTTCTTGAGAGGATTGCAAGGAAATACCCTGTCATTTGCAAAGTAGTTACTTGTCTTTGGCTGGGAAGGAAAGGGTGATTTTCATTTTCTTTATACCTTTACACATTTTCAAACTGTCTATAGTGAGTGTATGTTACTTTTGTAATTGAGGGGAAATTTTTTCATTACAGACAATGTGATTAATGAGTTTCTTTCATCTTTCATGCTGGTTTAATTTAAAAATGCTAGATTTCCATTTTGTTCTGTAAAAAATTGTTTCTCCTCTTTCCACTAGGAAGCTTCTCAGGGTGCTCCCATTGCCGAGTGAGAACTGGGGAGCTCTAGTTGGAGAATGGTGTTGTCATCCTGACCCCTTTGCTAATAAGCCACTTCATCCACAAGAGAGTGACTGTTTTATTGGAGACTCTTTCTTCTTGGTGAATTTAAGAAGTGATTTATGGCAGCCAAGACCTGAACTAGCCCCAGTGGAGACACACTGTCTTTCTTCTGAGAACCATTTTAAATTGGTAAAATATCTTTTCAAAATAAATGCTAATTTAGAGTTTGGCTTAGAAACTGGTTTCTCCAATCTTTTCTTAATTAAAGCATGCTACACAGACTGTTCTAAGGACCGAAATCCATTATTTTCAAGTTCCTCTATTCTCCAGCTCTGCTCTATTGATATAGGAAGAGCATATGGCTTTAGACCAAAACAGCTTACAGGGTCTGGAGGAAGAAGGAAAGAGGACTTTTTCGTGCATAGAATTGGGAATGTTGCCATTTTACAAACGAAATTGCCCTACTTTCTTCTTTTTAGGACAATATTCCATAATCTGTATAGTCTGATTTAGATTAAAGTGTTCTTTGTTCCAGGATATGTAGTACAGAGCTAGGCCTAGGTATTTCCCTGTGTCCACTGATGTCATGAGAGTAGATGCCATCAAGGAAAAAGAGGAAATGGAGGAGTCCAAGTGTGGAAAGGAAGCTTGTGCTGCAGGCTCCAAGTTGGTGGTTGACACTGTGAGGTCAAGTGTCTCTTGCTGTAGAAGTTGCTTTAGGGAGAAGGCAATTTCCTCTCACTGCAGAGAACAAATGGTTTACCTTACTTTAAAAGAAAATCAATGGCATTGACTTGGCCCTTGTGAGAAATCATTCTCCTGGTGGCAAATCAATACAGATGTGATTTAAAAAGTAAAGGAAATCATTGCCAGAGAATCTTCATTTTCACATCTGATTATTGGTAGGAATGAAAGCATTGTACGTTAAATTTCATTTAAAATTCATTTAATTTTTGTAACAAAAACTGAACCACTTTAGGAAATATGCAATAGTTGAGCAGCTCTTAGATTGTAAGTTAGCTTACATAACTATTTTCTGTTTTAAGGACAGATTAAGGAGGTTTATCAAATATCAAAGTTATTAGAATTAGTTAAGTGCCTTATCTCTCACCATAAGCACATTTACCTAAATATGGTTCATTTAAATTACCTAAATATGGTTCATTTAAAATTATAGTACTTTATCCTTTTATAGTTTTCAAAGATAAATGGTAAGTTAATATAAATCTGTTATATGTTTAATATGGTTATATTAAAATTGTATTTTAATCTAAATTTGTTTACTAATACTTTACTGTTTATGTACTTTAACTTTAATTCTTGTGATAAGCTATAAATTTTTAAAATATTTGCAAGGAAATATTTTTAAAATACTTGAATGGAAGAGGAGAGGAGAAAAATTAAAAGAGAAACCACAAGTTTCCCTTTTTAGATAAACTGTATGGAAATACATTCTTCTCATTTATGTCTTTATCTGTTATATGATGCCATTTCCAAGAATGTCTCTTCATTGTGAACAGTCATTGTATGTGTTAAAGGAAGACCCTTCATAGTCAGACCTAATGGTGTTTAGTATCATTGAGACTGTGGGAAACTCCTATCACAAGCTGCTGTTGACAAGATTGTTTCTAAGTTAGCCAAGGTGGAAGTTTCTCTTTAATTGCATATTGCAGCAGTTGAAAGAGTATGCCTGTGACCAAAATAGTAACATAAATTTGGAGGGACTGCTTAAACAGTGCTCTCAAGGCTCCTGTGGGAACAAGGCTGCTCTGTGCTATTGAAAACCTATTTCTCATATCACCAAGTCTAGCCATCTAGCAGGGTTTTGAAATGTCACATGGTGACACAGCATCCTAATGGTATCTCTTGGGAAACATTTTTTTGGCGAGACAATATCAAGGGTCCTTAGAAATTGAAACAACACAAAGGGAAATAAAAACGAAGACAGGAGGCTAATCCACATCTCTGTGCAGTGGTGCCGTCTCTCAGATATATTGATTTAATTAGTTCACAACACGGTCTTTCTTTGATGTTTGCTCTGCAGAGTTCCCACAGTTAGGCTGCTTCATCGCGCAACTTGCTGTATTATTTCCTTTAAGCGTTGGTCAGGAGAAATGCATTACAAAGCGGAGCTTCTCTTTAAATGAAATTTAGACTGTTAAAATATTTTAATTAAAAAGACCTGAATTTAAAAATAAAATCCAGCACTTAATTCTTTCCTGCAGTACCCCCCTTAACACTGTACAGTATTTGTCCCTGAAAATGTGGCAGTATATAACTTTTGTTTTCACACGGTAACCTCCCGAAGATTTCCTTATTCTTGCATTTACTCATTGTCTCATGCTGTTTTTTTGTGTGTGTCTACCAACGTAATAAAAATTTCACATCTTGTAATAGGATGATAAAGATGACAAAGGTGGCACCTCAGCCGTTTGTAAGATACATAATATTATTCTAGACTTAGAGAGTGTGGTCACACAGGAACAAGCTGAACTTTGATTATATTACAGCTGGCAGGTACAATTAACAGCTTTACCTTTTTTCCTTTCCTGGGGTGCTTGGCAATAATTTACTGATTTGGTAATTTGTTAAGTCCATAAGGGTGTATTTCTTATTTTCTCAGAATAATGTGTTGAATTTTGTAAACATGTACAAATGTAAAAAGGATAGAATTGGGAACTTCAGAATACCAGTCATCTTGATTCATAAAGTATGCTTCATCGCGCCCTTTAACCTCCACCCCTGCCCCCACCACCACAGGAGGGCTTTAAAGCAAATCCCAGACATTATGTCATTTCATCCCATATGGATTTTTCTTTTTTAGGTAACCACAGTGTCATTTCACATTTGACAAAAATGAACAATCATTACTTGGTGATAAAATCCTAGGCCATACACATACGGATTTTACCATTTATATTAAAGGTATTTTCTATTTGTTTGAATCAAAATACACACATTTGGTTGTTTGAAATAATTTGCTTTTTATTGATCACATTTTAAAATCCCAATTACCAGCGTCTTGAAAAGGTAGACTTCTTTTTTTGGTGAACAAACCAACAAAAAAAATTGTTTCGCTTCATTGAAAGACAAAGCAAAATGTGCCGTAAGAGCAATTATAAATGAAATACATAATGGAGCACCTGATGAAAAATTTTTTGCTTTGAATAGAAGATCTTCTTAAGCATTGCTACTCCAATACCCCATATTAGTTTTTAGTAAAGCCTTTAGTTTTTGGTAAGATTTAATGAGGATGGTTTGATTTAACTGGTACAAAATAGGATCTTTGGAAAAGTGTCTTAAGACCAATTTGGAGCCATACAGATAGATTTTATTGTAAGAAAGCATGAAACTGCCCAAATGTCAAAGTTTTAGTTGAGCCTATCTGCTTTCTGAGCTTCCTATATCCTTTAAAAAGAATTTTTTTTTTTTTTTAATTTTTATTTTTGAGAGAAAGAGGCAGCATGAACAGGGAAGGAGCAGAGAGGGAGACACAGAGTCCAAAGCAGGCTTCAGGCTCTGGGCTGTCAGCACAGAGCCTGATGCAGGGCTTGAATTCATGGACTGCGAGATCATGACCTTAACCGACTGAGCCAGTTAGGTGCCCCTATTTCATTTTGTTAAAAAAAAAAAAAAAAATGCAGGCCATAACCCATTGAAGTGATTCTGTGAATTAGTTTGGAAAACACTTGGTGTCGTGCTTAGAAGCATAAGTTTTAGCATCTAAGGGGTCTAGATTAAGATATCAGCTTTATCAGTTATTAGCACATCCATGGAACTCAGTTTAAATGTGCTTCTTATACAGTTTTTCAGAAAATATTTATTTATGCTAAGGAAAATATAATTGTACTCAAACTTACCCTAATCAGTTAAGATTCCTCAGATCAATACATATATCCCACATCAGGAAGACACTCTTCCTTTCTTAGACCAGCAATTTAGTCTGCCCTTTCCTAGGAGAGATGACCTAGGTGGCCAGAGTTGCAGAAATTCCTTCTCCCCACCCACTTTTACGTGACATCTGCCATGTTGCAGTGTGTCTATGTGAGAGGAATGTTACATGGTTTTAACAAAGGTATTGCTATGGATGTGAAAAAAGCATATTTTTTGGTAGATTCTTAATATGCAGTTGTCCAGTAAAAGGCAAAAAATTGGTCTCTTTGTGGGAGGATATGGGTTTTCAGCCTGTTCCTTGAATGACATGTGCCCAAACTATGTTTTGTTTACGTAACATCCACCTGGCAGTCAACATGAGCCTGGGACAGTGCTTTATAACACTCCCTTTTAAATACTAATAAACAACACTAATGAGTAGAACACTACTATTTACTACCTTAAACAGGTGAGGAAACCAAAACAGGTTAATTAACTTGCTCAAGGTTATGTGTGTAATAAATAGCAGGACTGGGATGTAAACCTGGGAAGTCTGGCCCCAGACTCAGGGCTCTTAACCACCATGCTACTGCTTCTAACATAATCTCATATAAAAAACTAAAAATCAGTTTTTTTTTTTTTAAATTGAGGTATAATTGACATATTATATTACTTTTAGGTATATAATTCCATATATGTATATGTTGTAGAATTGTGCATATTGTACATTGTACATAGAATGTATGTATTATAGAATTAGATGGATGCTAGCAATTTTAATCTGCATCCCAAATGATGAATTTGGGGTTTTACAGTTTAAGAATGCTTCAGGAATTTCTCTGAGAGCACTATCCAGTTTTTCCAATTATAATGAATATCTTAAGTAGAAAAATATGTTATATGAACGTGTTAAATTTATTTTTTAAAAAATTTTTAATGTTTTTATTTATTTTTTGAGAGAGAAAGAGAGAGAGAGAGAGGGAGACAACTGAGAGAAATGAAGACAGAATACGAAGCAGCCTCCAGGCTCTGAGCTGTCAGCACAGAGCCTGACGTGGGGCTTGAACCCATGAACCATTAGATCATGACCTGAGCCAAAGTTGGAACGACTGAGCCACCCAGGCACCCCAAATGTGTTAAAAAAAATTTTTTTTTAATTTTAAGTTTATTTACTTATTTTGAGAGAGAGAGCACAAGCAGGGTAGAGGCAGAGAGAGAGAGGAGAGAGAGGATGCCAAGCAGGCTCTGTGTATCAGTCCCGAGCCCCATGAGGGTCTCAAACTCACTGTCCTTGAGATCATGACCTGAGCCAAAGGCAGCTGCTTAACTGACTGAGCCACCCAGTTACCCTGGTTACATATTTTTGACTTCTGGTGAGGGCCTATGAATTATAGATTACTTTTACATAAGTTACACTGGACTAGAAATCAAAATAATGGCTCTAATTTTTGATTCTCCTGTTTGCAGACACATGAATTAGAACAAGTCACCTACTCTCTCTGCCTTTGTTGCCTGCCATCTACTCATTCTAAATGATAATGTGTATTTGGAAGTACATTTTAGAAATGTAAAGTGCTTCTTTTTCGAATTATTTACAATAGATTATCAAGAAGTGGTTAGGTTTGGAAAAATCAGTGTGTTCATTATTCTGTCTTTAGATCTGAAAAAAAAATCTCTGTGCATGTGAATTATGCATACAAGCTAAATGTGTTCTCAGTATTTAGTAGAGGGCAAAATAAAATGTAAAGTTCAAAGTATACTCTAGAGACTATGTTAAAATTATATATTCCTTTTAAGAAAAGCTGAATGACATTTAAATGACATTTTTCTGTTCTACAGAAACCAAAGGCAAATACCAAAGTAATTTGTAAGCGTTGCAAGGTAATGTTGGGAGAGACCATGTCATCAGGTAAGAATTTCATAATAAAACCAAAATGATTGCCGCCTTATTAAAAATGAGTAGAAGGAGATTTTATAGGAAATCTATGTGAAAGATAGATAACTAATACATGTTGTAAAATTGATGATTTTAGAATAGACTCTATATAGAAATAGAAATAGAAATCAAGTAACATATCATCAAATATGCCTAGAAGTTTGTGTATTTTGACCTTTATAAGTACATAGTATTGAGTTTTAAACTTAGGTTGGGTCATTTTCAATATTTCAAATCCTCTTAGTGGATATAAAGCTACAGTATAAAGTTTGTCCTTGGGTCTTTCTTAAAGAATATCAGGGCTTTTTTCTCAGTACAACTCCTCAGTCAGAATTGTTGGTTGCTAGAGATGATGAAGAAGTTTTCTTGGCTGCCATCTGCCTTAGGGCTGTATTTTGGGCTGGGGGTTGAAAGAGAACTTTTGAAATGGAAGAAAACATATTCTGAGTTTCGTGCTCTGTTCCTATTCTCTTCCCGATAATTATATTTATATAAAGTCTATGTTAAATCACTTTCAAATATAATAAAATCATGATAATTAAATTGCATTACTATTTTTTTTTTTAATGTTTATTCATTTTTGAAAGAGAGACAAAGTGTGAGCAGGGAGGGAGCAGAGAGAGAGAGGGAGACACAGAATCTGAAGCAGGCTCCAGGATTTGAAAATGTCTGGAGAGCTACAACATGCTGCATTAGCTTTATGGATGACAAATAATTGTTTTTAATACAATTATTTAGAAATGTAAGTAAAGCTAGTGCACCTAAAGAAGGCAGATGGTAGTGTTGTTTGTTTCTTAAAATCATCAGAATCTTGTAAGTAGTTGACTTGCTCAGAGTGAACAGAAAAGAAAGAATGAGCAGTGGTAAAGGATGCCATCCCCAATGTCACTTTGGAGAATGAAAGCAAGCCCTTTAAGCAACAACTTAGAAAGTTTTAAGGCTTCCAGTCAAATTAGGCAAATTGATTTTTTTTATAATTTTTATTTTTTTTTATTTATCTTAGAGAAAGAAGAGAGAGACAGAGTATGAGCAGAGGAGGGGCAGAGAGAGAAAGAGACACAGAATCTGAAGTAGGCTCCTGGCTCTGAGCTGTCAGGAGAGATCCTGATGCGGGGCTCGAACTCAAGGAGCGTGAGATCATGACCTGAGTAGAAGTTGGCCCTCAATGAACTGAGCCACCCAGGTGCCCCGATTTTTTAATTTTTTATTCTTTTCTCTTGTCCCTGAAGCCCAGTTAAAATGTCAGTTAAGGAATAAAAAATATGTATATCCACAGAGACCATGAGAAATTAAGAGGAAGTGACAGTAATGTAAACAAGAGATATAAGCAGACATTTTTGGAAACTGTAAAGCTGAGAGGTGTGGGAACACACTTGGCAGTGTGGAGGAAGCTGCAGTCTCAGTGTCTGCAGATCATCTGAGTGAAGAGTGAGCCAGTACTCGCGGTAGAGCCTCAGAGCTGGTCAGAATTTGGAGCAACAGGTAGCAGGGAAAGCAGTCTGAGACAAGGGCCTGGAGGAAGGATGGTTAATTCAAAATTTTTATATGGAGCTGTAAAACTCCTAAGATTCCTGTATTTGCAACTTGCTTATACTCTCAAGGTAGGAGATTAGAGGACTCTTTTCTTGGAAAATGAAAGAATACCAATCAGAGAAGAGATTTGCAGATACTCTTTTAGGGGTCATTCAACAGTAAAATGAGCCTAGATCTAGCCATCCTACAGTCAACAAGCCTTGTACCTACATGTAAGAGTTTCCTGTCAGTATTTTTTTTATTTATACTTAAATATGAATGGATTGCTGAGAATCAAAAAATATTAGAGCAAACCTCCAACTAAGAGACTGAAGTAAATAATCAAGTAAACAGAATAAAGCACCAAGAAAAACAATATATAAAACAAAAGAAAATCTTGAACAAAAATAATGTTCTTAGAGAAATGAAATAATATTGTCTCCATAATTCAGAGAATATAGAATTAAAGATGTGACTGCTTAAAAAAAGTAATGAAAGGACTAAAAGATAAAATTAAGGAATTATCTTGTCTCCTAAATCAGAACCAAAAGTCAGATATTGAAAATTGGAAAGGAATTGTGGGAAAAACCATCATGTAAGTTTCCTGAGGATACAGGTATTGTCTATCTCATTTATCACTATAACCTCAGCATTAAAACAATATCTGGCACATAGTGGGTACCCAATAAATATTTATTGAATGAATGAATGAATGAATGAATGGAGACTTTCAGGATATTCAACATATAGCTAATAGAAATTCTAGAAAGCGGGGCGCCTGGGTGGCGCAGTCGGTTAAGCGTCCGACTTCAGCCAGGTCACGATCCGTGAGTTCGAGCCCCACGTCAGGCTCTGGGCTGATGGCTCAGAGCCTGGAGCCTGTTTCCGATTCTGTGTCTCCCTCTCTCTCTGCCCCTCCTCCGTTCATGCTCTGTCTCTCTCTGTCCCAAAAATAAATAAACGTTGAAAAAAAAATTTTTTTAAAAAGAAATTCTAGAAAGAAAGAATATAGACAACAGAGTTTAGGAAATTATCAAAGAACAGAAATACTAAAAACACATTACAAGGCTATTTTCCAGAGCTGGGGCTTCAGTTTCTCAACTGAAGAGGCCCACTACATGTCCAGTATGATGAATGGGATGGGAGGGCAGCTACCCAAAGCTGCATCATTGAGTAATTTCTGAATACCAAGGAAGAAGTTTCCAAAGGAAAAAAAAAACAAGTAGTGAACAAAGGATTAGGAATTAGAATGGCATTGAACTCTTTTTTTTAGTTTATTTATTTTGAGAGAGAGAAAGAGCATGTGCTCAGGGGAGGGGCAGAGAGAGAGAGGCAAAGAGAGGATCCCAAGCAGGTTCCGTGCTGTCAGCAGAGCTGACATGGGACTCGATCCCATGAACCATGAAATCATGACCTGAGCCTAAATCAAGAGTCGGACACTCAACTGACTGAGCCATCCAGGTGCCCCAAGAATGGCATTGAACTCTTAACAGCATTTTTGAAAGCTAGAAGACAATGAAGCAATGCCTTCATAATTTAGAAGGAAAAAATATTTTTAATCCATAATTCTGTCACAAACTATCAATCAAGTATGAAGATAACACATAGACCTCAAATGTACATTTTCCTTAGGAATGTGATATAGGATATATCTCACCAAAACTAAGGATTTAACCTCGAGAGAGAAGACATTGGTTTTGGGAAACATTATCTAACACAGATAAGGGAGTCTCAGAGTGAGGGACACACAGCAGGCCTAGAGATTGAAACAAAAGGAGAGAAGATTGCAATAAACATGTTTTCAGTTACAAAATGAAACTGATACATTCTTTGATGTATATGACCACATGTAACAGTCTTGAGATAAGCCATTCTATCATATGGGAAGAATTAGCTAAAGGTGCTTGGAAAACTAATCCAATGAAAAAGAAGTTATGCACTACAGGAAAGCAGAAGGTTGAACAAGAAAGGAAACATTTCCATGGTATTATAGCCATAATAACGTGAAGTTCAATAGGCAAAGGAGAAACTAGAAATTTAAGACGGAGATTTTGGAAGCAAAAGGCTAAAGACAGGCTGAGATAAGCTTTTCACACAGTTCTGGCTGACTGCTAAATGCACATAATAGATGCCAAAGCATCTAATAAGAATTGAAAGCTTGGGGAGACGTGCACATTTTCCCATGCCTTTAATTTCATTTCTCAGTCGATAACACAATTGGGCAGCAGAAGGTAAAAACCTTAATGGCTTGAAGTATTTAAGCAAAACATCTCCCCAAATATGCTGACAGCTGAACTATGAAGGTATAGTGGATACTTCCTAGGGAGCCAGGCTACATAAAATAAAACTGAGCAGAAACATTAGTGGCTACACACTGTGGGGAGACATATTTCATAGTTTGAGCCCAGGTTAGTTAATTGACTATTATACTTATCAGCCAACAATCCTTGAAAGAACAAAACAAAATCCAGGATAGTGACGGTATATTACATACAATGTCCTACTTCCATTTAGAAATTACTAGACATGCAAAGAAGCAGAAAAGAGTGATTGATACTCAAAGAAAAAACAGGACTCAATAAACAGGTGATGAGTAAGCACAAATATTCGACTTAGTAGACAAAGATGTTGAAGTAGCTGTTATAAATATGGCAAAGAATTAAAACAAAAACCTCTTGAGTAAACTAATAGTAAATCTCAACAAATTGGAAACTTCAAAGAGAAAATCATTGGTAATTACAGAGCTCAAAAGTACAGTAAGTAAAAAATTTACTAGATTAGCTGTACTACATCTTTTATTTTATTTTATTTTATTTTATTTTTTTAATTTTTTTTTCAACGTTTATTTTTTATTTTTGGGACAGAGAGAGACAGAGCATGAACGGGGGAGGAGCAGAGAGAGAGGGAGACACAGAATCGGAAACAGGCTCCAGGCTCTGAGCCATCAGCCCAGAGCCTGATGCGGGGCTCGAACTCACGGATCGCGAGATCGTGACCTGGCTGAAGTCGGACGCTTAACCGACTGCGCCACCCAGGCGCCCCTGTACTACATATTTTAGATGGCAGAAGAAAAAATATAATCATTGAACTTGAAGGTATATTAATAGAAATTCACCTATCCAAAGAACAGAGAGAAAAAGTTCTGAATCAAAATGATCAGGACCTCAGATATTTGTGGGACAATATCAAGTGCTTCGGTAGATGTGTAAATGGAGTCTCGGGGTGAGAAGGAAAAGAATAAGTCAGGAGAAAAAAAATTGTGGAAAAAATGGCTGAAGTCTTGGCAACTTTGGTGAAAAATATTAACTTTTAGATCCAAGAATTGCAATGAAAAGTAGGGTAAACACAAAGGACACCTCGCCCAGCCACATTGTAGTCAAACTAATAGAAGCCAAAGATGAAGAGAGAATCTTGAAAGTACAAAACATCTCTTACAGGGATTTCTTGATACAATTAAGGCTGACTTTTTACGGAAATATGACAGCCAGGAGACACTAAAATGAGATATTCAAATGCTGGGGGTGGGGAGAAAAACATTAAAAAAACAAACAAACAACTGTCAACTAACAATTCTATATCAAGCAAAACTGTCCTTCAAAAAATGAAGGCAAAATAAGGGCATTTTCATATAAATAGATGGAAGTTATGCATTACTTGCAGACCTTTTCTACAAAAAATGATAAAGTTCTTCAAGCTGAAGTAAAAGATAGCAAAGGTAATTGGAATCCACAGGAAGAAATGAAGAGCAAGATAAATAGAAAATATGTGGGTAAATTACCACAAAAGTAAACTCAAAAGTTAGCACAAAATTGAAGTCACCTTTTCAATACATTGTGCCAATTCTCTAAAATTAGAACTTTTATTTTGATTGCTTTGAGAAGTAAAGGTATAAATTAAAGACTACACAAAAAGGGAACCTAGTAGAGTACTCTCTGCACAAAAATTGGAGGCCCTAAAGACCCATACCCTTACTGTGGAGGTGAATCAGAAGTGGAACAGCCCTGTGGAATTACAGACAGGTCCTATCAGTCCTTTGGCACTTTAGGGAATTTCAAGTCTTGAACTTGGTTAGTCTGCTGTGGGCTAGCCATAACACCTTGTGCCTGCCAAAAATCAAATGCATATCACGTCCGGAGGAAAATACCTTCATTGTAAAACTCAGAATACCACAAATAATTTGTCAAGTACAGTGTTCACCATACAACCAAAGATAAATAAACATACAAGTAGACTAGACTTTCATCAACAAGAACTAACAAAAATAGCGAACAACAGAAACAGACTTCTGTTACTGGAATTCACAGACATAAACTGGAACAATCATACTTTCTATATTTATAAGAGAGGTTTGAAGGTATCCAAAGGAAAAGGAGACAACAGCAAGAATATTTGGTAAAGATCTATAATGGAATTTCTAAAAAATATATAACTGAAATTTAGAATTTGGTGGAGGTTTTAATGGCAGATTAGGTACAACTTAGAGAAAGAATTAATGAATAGACAATTGAGAAGAAAAATCTGGAAGCCAGCACAGAGAGACAAGGCAAAAAATATGGGAGAAAGTAAGACATAAAACATACACTGAGAAGATCTAACATATGTTTTGTTTGGTTATTTTTTATTTAAATTCCAGTTAACATATAGTGTAATACTATTTTCAGGTGTACAATTAAATGATTCAGCACTTACATACAATATCTGGTGCTCATCACAGCAGGTACACTCCTTAATCCCCATCACTCATTAGGCCATCCCCCTCTCCTCTGGTAACCATCAGTTTGTTCTCTATAATTAAGAATCTGTTTCTTGGTTTTCCTTTCTTTTTTTCCCTTAGGATCATTTGTTTTGTTTCTTAAATTCACATGAGTCAAATCATATGGTATTTGTCTTTCTCTGACTGACTGACTTTGCTTAGCACAATACTCTCCAGCTCCATCCACATCATTGCAAATGACAAGATTTCATTCTTTTTTATGGCTGAGTAATATTCCTGTGTGTGTGTGTGTGTGTGTGTGTGTGTGTGTGTGTGTGTGTGTGTGTGTGTAGTCATTCACCAGTCAATTGATTTGGGGGCTCTTTCCATAATTTGGCTTTTGTTGATAATGCTGCTATAAACATTGGGTTGCATGTGCCCCTTTGAGTTAGTATTTTTGTGTTCTTTTGAGTAAATACCTAGCGGTCCAATTGCTGAATCATAGGGTAGTTCTGTTTTTAACTTTTTGAGGAATCTCCATACTCTAACAGCGTATGTTTAATCAGACTTCTGGAAGGGAAAGAAATAGAATGGAGCATGGACAATATTTGAAGAGATAATTGCTAAGAATTTTACAAAAGTGATGAAAAACAGTCTACAAATTGAGGAGGTCCAATGAATTCTAATTAAATGGGGCCCAAGTAAGATAAATAAAAAGTCTATAGCTGGACATATCTGAGTGATACTGCAAACAACTAAACAAAAACCAGAACATCTTAAAAACAAAGAAAAGTGACAGATCACTCTCAAAGGAACAATAGTAATGGAAGATGGAAGACAATGGAATGAATGTCAATATGTACAAAGGTTAAAAACTGTTAACCTAGGATTTTACGTGATGAAAATGTCTTGATAGGAAAGAATCAAGACAAAGATAAATATATTTTCTGACAAACACTATAATAATTCATTTCTACTGGTTTGTTTTTTATTAAAAGAAATTCTACTTGTAGAAGAATAGAATTCTACCTGTAGAAGGTAAAAGAAAATGATCCCAGATAGAAGGTGTAAGTTCAAGAAGGTTTGGTAAAGAAAAGTGGTAAATATGTGGGAGACATTAAGTGGACGCTAACTGCATAAGGCAATAATAATAATACCTTGTAGGATTAAAATTGTAGAATTGTATTTTAACAGCGGCTGGGATGAAAGGGTTCACTTAATAATGTTAAAAGGTTCATTTTTGCATCTAATAACATGACTTCAAAATAGTAAAGTGAAAACTGAACTTAAAGAAGAAATAGATAAATGCATCATGATGGCTCTAGCTATATAATAATATGTTAAACTATCTATTGATTTTCTTGCCTTTTTTTGTGTATTACATTGAAAAATTGAAAACATTTTAAGACAATGTACTGAGAATGCTTTTTCATCTTATTAAAACAATTAAAAATTGTTTGGCACACCGTTTTTAATGCCTGCATAGCATTCTCTTCCTTAAACGTATAATTGTTTAGCCCAACCAGTTTCAATTTTTAAACAACTTATTTTCAGTTTAATTAATGAGCTTATTTACAGATAAATTTTTATAGATATGAATATTTCTTTGAGATAAGTTCTTAGATGTTTAATGATGGTATCAAAATATATTTAAGGTCTTCGTCAAGTGGCTTTCCAGAAATCTATCGTTTGCAATTCTGACAGCAATATGTGAATAAGTGCACCCACTTCTCCATATTTTCCTCATTGCTGCATTTTATCATTTAAAAATATTTATTTGATGCTAAAGAATATCTCCTTTTAATTTGTATTCCTTCATTATTAGTAAAAATAAACATTTTTTTTGTGGATTTTGTAAATTCAGAATGGTTATGTTTATATTCATTTCTGTAAGATATTTAGTTTACTGTTTAAATTTTTCTGTAAACTAATCAGATAACCAGATTTGTTGGAAATTATACATTAGTAGACTCAGTGAGATTCTGGGAAATACTCATGTGAGGTTCACAGCATTTTTGCATGGGCTTTGGGACACCATGATGAAAAAGCCTTTTTCAATGATTCCTAGATTTGTGACTACTCCATAGAAACGAGGAAACTAGATGACTACTTTCTACATAAGTGGGCTATGACTGTGATGTGACTGAGTTTTCTACCTTCTGTGTGTGTAAACAGAGTGTCCTTGCACCAGATTCACTTGGGCCATGACCTGCTGAAACAACATCGAGCCCTCTCAAGTCTCAGGACTCTCTCCTTGTAGTCATCAATGCTTTCTCATCTTAATTACTAAGTCATTTGGGGAAAAGTTTTACTGAATGTTAATTTTATCAGTATACATACTGAATAATTCAATTTGGGATGTCATAATTAGGGACCAACATGTCCACAATAAAAATGTTAGTGCAATGGGAAGATTTTTAATTTTCTTATTTTTTGTTTCTAGAAACCACCAAGTTTTATATGACAGAGATAATTATTCAGCCATCTGAAAGAAATTTTCCCATCATACCAAGGTATAAATAGCAAATTAAGTTTATTCTGTAATTTTAAATGTGGAGAATGATAGGTACAATTGATTATTTGGGAATTCATTTTTATTTATACCTCCTTATTGGGGGAAAAAAAACCCTTGAGAAAGGCTTTTAGACAGTTGAAGCAAACCACACATATACAAGATTTGAGGATTCATTTATGGCTTGCTTACAAATTGGCATAAACAAATGTGCTTATATTAACATCTTCAAATTCTGAAAGCTTTTTGTGCTTCTTTCTATTTGCCAGATATCCAAGTTCTTACAACCTAATCACTAATAGGTTTTGAATAATTGTTTCTGTTTTAATTTGACTTATTTAAAATGTGAAACGTGGGTCAGTTTTCAAACAACTCCTGTGTTTTTTTTAAAAATGTTACTTAGCCACTAAATCCACTAGTGTTTTCTTTCTTGGAATCTTTTTAGTTTGCAAACAGAAGTTAATTATAGCATATCTTTCAACTCATTTATGGATATCTGAAAATTATGGCAATCTGATTTTAACCTTAAAATTTATCCTCCTGTAAATACTTTGATTCTGTACCTCAGCTCTGACTTTTTGAGGGGCTCCAAATGGAAATCATTGTAGATAACTGTCTAATGTTTGGGAGGAAACATCTCGCCTTCTTTTTTAACTCACCGTTTATTTTTTTTTTTATTTTTTTATTATTTTTTTTTTTATTTAACTCACCGTTTAATGTGCTATAGCACAAGTGGAATATTAACATGTCTAATACAGTATTTTTTTTTATTCAGTCAGGGAATAGTTAGGTTCAGGGTGGGAAATGTATTAAGGATTGGAGAAGAGATTATAAGAAGACTGGAGCAAACACAAATACATTAAAATATATTAAAATCCACATTAGCACAGTCTGTGAAGGAATGAGCAGCATATAGAAAAGTCTGGCTGCACACGCCTCTGCCTTTTAGGTACCCTGTGGGTATTTTTGGCTCCTCTTGCCAGTGAGAGTTATTATGAGAGGCACATTGTGAAAATTGATTTCTGTTCAAACAGGTCCCAGTTTGTACAGAGTGTTATCGCCCAGTGTCTGGTGGAACTCTCCTCTGCTAGAAGCACTTTTAGATTCACTATTCAAGGTCATGACGGCAAAGTGTACATCTTGGTAAGATGTTATTTCTCCCATCTTTCTGTAGCCTGGTAATCCAGGGTCTCAGAAATTCTTTAGTCTTGCCATTCTCTTTTCTCAATTCTCAGGTCTAGAAAATAAACGATCAAATACTGAATTTGTAATATCCATTGAATTCCCAAACCAAACTCAGTGACAAAAGAGCAAGTGGCTTTATGTGCTAGGTACTGGGGATATAGAGAAAAATAAAACCTGAAACCTGCTCACACCACAAAATAAAGTTTTTCACTCTAAGTTGTTAATGACTTTTCTTGGTCAGTATAACACAGTTCTGTCTCTGTCACTTTTTTCCCCCTATTGATTGTTCCGTTTTTCCTTTTTGATACTCTTATGTTTAAAATATATTCTGTTGCTCCTGTTTTTATATATATGTGTGTATGTGGTAAGAACACTTCATGTGAGATCTACCCTCTTCATAGATTTTTAAGTGCATGCTAACAGTATTGTTAATTATAGGCACAATATAATACGCAGATCTCTAGTACTTATTCGTCTTGCCTAACTTTAACTTTATACTCTTTTCATTAGCAACTCTCCATTTCTCCCTCCTTCCAGCCTTTGGCAGCCATCATTCTACTCTTTGCTTCTATCTGTTGGACTGTTTTAGATTCCTTATGTAAGTGGAATCCAGCAGTACTGTCCTTCGGTGTCTGGCTTATTTTACTTGGCATACTGTCCTCAAAGTTCATCTGTGTTGTTGGATATTACAAGGTTTCCTTCTTTTTTAAGGCTGAGTAACCCATTGTATGTATGCAGCACATTTGTTTTATCCATTCATCTGTTGATGGACATTTAGATTGTTTCCGCATCTTGGCTGTTGTAAATGATGCTGCAGTGAACATGGGTGCAGATACCTCTTTGAGCTCCTGATGTTAACACATTGATGTTTGAGAAGGAGTGGCAAGTTTGGGATAAGAGGCCCTGCAGTTAACAGAATCGTTTCCTTCATGTACCACAAGCATCTACTATTATACTGTTGCTGTTAGAAATAATGGTCTGCAGAAAAGAATTTGGACCACTTATATGAGAATCTTAAGGCCCAAGTCTCTTTTCTGCCTCCATATCTATTTTATTCAACCAGTAAACATATATTGAACATTTCTTATTATAAAGGCACTGTTCTAGGTGTTGAGGGTAGAGCAAAAAATGCCATTAAGGAACTCACAAGCTAATAGGGAAACATGGTAGCTCGAAGGAGGCAGGGGGTTAGGTTGTTGTTAGGTGTGGCTTCATAGCTGGCCATCCATTATGGGGACCCCATGCTTCTCTGACTCCGATAATTAATACCAAAACTAAAATACTTTTTGACTGAAGTTAATACTGAGTATGCCTGATAGTCATAGTCTGAAATCAGTTTTAATTTTCTTTTACTGTAAGGTTTTCAAGTTAAAACTCAGGAATAGGAACTTTTAAAATCTACTACTAATATAATATTTAAATTCAAAAAATGTCTTTGTTATAAAAGTAATACATTCTTGAAACAGACAGTGTGAAGAATGTGGCAGTGGTATTCCTCCACCTTGTCTTCTCTCCTGTCTTGCTATATCATAGTATTTGAAGATAAAAATTATTAATTTGGTATGTGTACTTCCAACATTTCCCCCCATCCATATATGACTACATGTTCATACACTTACATTTTGCTTTTGTTTGTAAAACATACCAGAATCATATCATGAGCATTTTTCTTCAATATGTTTATTCCACACAGCAGTGTATCATAAGGATTGTTTCTTGTTAGTGTAAATGTAGATCAGTGTCTTTAAGGTCTAGAATTCCAGTGTGTGGCTGTTAAAGACAGTGCGGCAATGAAAGTGATCTTTGCATGTGTATTTTAGCACTTCTTTAGAAACAGACCTTTTTAATCTAATACGGTGTTAGAATTTGTGTATTTTAAATTGATAATTATCATCCTCCAGAGAAGCTGTATTAATTTATCCCGTATAGTGAGGCATTCTTGGTACCCCACCCAGATCCCCTTTACTCAGGCTGATACACCCATTTCCCAGCTGCTGAGAGGTGTGGACTGCTAATGGCACTCAGCTGCCTCTTCTCCAGAGACTTGCCCTTATGTGACAGATGTCACCTTGTTCAGAAAGTTACCTCTTCCCACCCCTGCTCTGGTCCGCCTACTGCCATTGATTTGACCCTGTTGTGCAAAAAGAAGGGGCCTCCTGTCTGAAGGTGGGACAGATTTTGTGGGTGGGATTCTTGCTTCAGAGCTCCTGGGGTAAGGCTGAAGCCAGACCCCTGCTGAGCTCCACAATGAACAGCAGGCATCCAAATCCCAAAACTCTTCTGCCAGCAGTCCAGACCCCTCTTCTGAACTGGATGGTGCCATCTTGTTGTACTTGCAAATCTGATAAGTGGAAAAGGGTGGCAGATGATTTTCACATTTCCTTATTACTAGTTATATTAACATTTTTATATGTTTATCACTTATTCCTTCTGTTAATTCTGTACATATTCTTTGCCTTTATTTCTGTTGGGCTGTTTTTGCCCCCTTATTGTTTCCTGGGAGCTGTATATATTATAGATAATACCTTTGTTATATACTATTAAATAGTTTCTCCTAGTTGGTTGTCTCTCTCTCTTTTTTCTTTTTTTAACTTTTATAATCTCGGTGACTCTACCAGATGTTATACTTTGAAAGACTTACCGTACTTAAAAATTATATACATGGTTCTCCTGTATTATTTTGTGGTATTTTATAGTTTTATTTGTGTTTTGTTTTTTAGTGATGGTATGAAATATGATAATGAGTGATAATGATATCCTTATACTTGGACTTTTCTCTCCGTATCTTTAGCTATGGCTTTTAAACTCAGACAGTTTGGTGATTGAATCTTTGGGAAGTTCCAGAGGTATCACAAAATTCCCTCTGTTGGAAGACATCTTAAAGGCAGATTCCAGTTCTGCCTGGAATGCTGTCAAGGTCCTCTACCAGCCATGTGTCAAAAGCAGGAATGAAAAGTAAGTTGTGTGTTTGTTTCCTCATTCCACGTTGTTTAGTTTCTTTTGCCATTTGGTGTTGAGAAATCAATGAATTAAATGGTACTATGCCACTTCCCTATTTGAAGCTTCTAGGAGTTGTACTGCTAAATGTTATGCTTTAAAGTAGATTGAATTATTACAGATGATTCATGCTAATGTGTACAAAGCTTACTTTTACTGAAAATAATTGGTCTTTTTCTTGTAATCTCAGCTGTCTATGCATATGGCTGTAGTACTTAATCAGGCATCAAAAGCTATGAATATTTACTGATAAGCACTTTCCAGGCATTGGGGATGCAATGGTGAAAAAAACCTAGTCCTTTCTTCCTGGGATTGTCATTCTAATGGGGGGAAGGCAGACCATAAACAAAAGAGGCATAAAACCTTGGACCAATGTGGCCATGTGACTCGTGGCTCCCGCTAAAGAGTCAGGCACTCATCTGTGGGCTTCTAGCTCCTTTAAGCCTAACAACAACCCTGTGGGGTAGGTACTATTATCACAAAACACAGGTGTTAAATTACTCTCCTGAAATACAAAGCAAGGTAAAGTAGTTGGGGAGGAGTAGGATGGGTGTAGGAGGTTGTCATTTTATGTTGAAAAGTCAAGGATGTTTCGTAAGACGATATTTAAGTGGAAAACTTGAAGTGAAAGAGTGAGCTTTATCTGAGAGAGCAGTGTTCCTGGCAGAGAGAACAGATTGAAGTTTATACTTGTCTTGTACTCTCCAATGGGTTTGATCAAATTTGTACTAAGAACAGAAAGATGCCAGTTGTTTTCTAGGAAGTAAATACGAAATTTTGAAAAATTGCTCATCTTTTTTTTTTTTTTGGATTATATAAGCAGTACCAATCATAAAATATTTAAACAGTTGAGACATACATAAAGTAAAATGTGAAAGTTCTCCATCATGCCCCTTTCTGGAAGTAAAAAGTATGTTGTATATTCTTCAATTCCTTTTTCTATTTATTTTTCATCTTAACATAATTTGGAAGATACATGTGTATTTTTTACACTTAAAAAGAAAGCAACACTGTGTCCTGGGAGATTCTTTACAAGTCAGTGCTTTGCATTTTATGTAATGGGTGTACTATAAATAATTTAACTGTTTTTCTGTTGATAGATACTTGGGTTATTACCATTTTGCTGCTATAAGTAACATTTCATTGTGTGTCGTTATACAAATTTGGTTTGTAATTATGTGTACTTTTTTTATAAGGGATTTCTAGAAGTAGAATTGCTGAAGCAATGGTACAACATTTAAAATTTTGATAGATAATACTAGTTACTTTGTAAAAAGGCATTGCAAATTTATATTCCTACCTGAAGTTTCTATAAATGCCCATTTTTCTGTAACGTCACCCAAACTGCCATTTAGATTTTTGTCCATCTGATGCCAGTCTAAATGAAACAGGTCAGATATAGATCCTTTTGTTGTTTTGAGGTATGATCAGAGACTCTGGCTTATGCTTTGATGTTTTGGGCACTTTGGTGTGTGTATGTATGTGTGCACGTGTATGGCCTAATACATAGTTACCTTTTAAGCTCTTTGTTGCTTGTATTCTACATTTACTTCTGTGTGTGTGTGTGCCTTTATAGATTTATGTGGATTTATGTGGTGAAGCTTGTTAAAATCTTTTATGTTTTTTATTTATTTGAAATGTGGACTTTTGAGAAGGATGTGTTAAATCACACTTTGATTATGAATAAGTTATTTTCTTCTGATTTTGGTATCAGTTTTTTCATTGTATATCTTGAAGCTATGTTATTAGGTACATAAATATTTGTGCCATGACAACTTGACTAATTGCATATTTTATCCAGAAGAGATTTTTGCTGCCCTTCTATGTAATGCTATTTCCGCTTAATTCGAATTTGCCTGATGTTAATATTGTTATATTTACTTTCCTTTTTTTTTTTACTTGCTAATTTGTTATATAGTAGTCCCTTCTTACCTGCAGTAAGAGAAAAGACTTTTCCTTAATAAGGTTTTGCATTTCTTCTTTTCTCCCTGTCTCCTGAACTCTGTCCTCTATGTTGAGATCATGTATGATTCTGGTGATGGTGGCAGTTTCTTCTTAGGGAAGTACCAAGCCACTGCCCTGACCTGACCTATTTGCTTCCCTCTTTTTTTTTTTTTTTTAAATATATTTTTAAACTTTATTTATTTTGAGAGAGACAGAGGGGAGGGGTAGAGAGAGAGGAAGAAAGAGAGAGAATCCCAAACAGGCTCCTCACTGTCAGCACAGAGCCTGACACAGAGCCTGAACTCACAAAACTGCAAGATCATGACCTGAGCTGAAATCAAGAGTTGGATGCCTAACCAACTGAGCCGCCCAGGCTCCCCTTGCTTCCCTCTTACGTATCATGGCCATAAGTGGTTTTATATTTTTATTGTATAAGTCCATTTCCATAAAAATATTTGATGTTTTAAAAATATTTACAAATAGTACTGTATAGTATATATCTTTTTACAGTTTGGTTTTTCACTTACTAGTCTTTGTTTCATTGATTTGATGAAATCCGCTCTTTTATGTACTGTTAAAGTTGGACTGTAGTCAATCCTTGAGTATCTGAAAATCTCTTATATGTTATCTCTCTGAAAACCTATAGGATTTCTCTTTATCATTGTTTTTCTAAGATTTCATACAGATGTATCTAAATATGTTTATTCAAAATGTTCTCTTATGTCACAATCTGTTCTGTCTTACAAATGAATTGTTCTCTCAGTATCTGTGATACCAATAATGATACTTCAAGTCTTCTGTTCTCTCTGTTAACTCTTTTCTTTTGGTGTTAACTCTCCTCTCTTTGAAAACGTTCCTTGTGTTTCTAACTTTGCTTTACAGTGTTACTTTCCGCAAATGTTTGATAATTCCACTAGAATTCATGTGCTAGGATGTATACTCCTTGTGAACCAGGACCTTGTGCGTCTTGCTCCTTACTACATCTAGGTGAGTTCTTGTAGAAGTTCTCAGTATAGAAAATTTGTGGTCACATTTAACAAAACATTTGTCAAATGAATGGTACATCATTTTCTGCTTATTTTTATATTTGATAATTGCTGTTCCTCTGTTGGTAACTGCCTTTATGGATTTGTGAAAGAGAACTCTAAGGATATACCAGTTTGGTTGTGACAGTTTGTCTTTTGACAACTTTTGGGTGCTAAGAAAAAGGAAGCGGTGGTAGACTAAGTTACTGTGATGAACCTTATATTCATTATTGTGAAGAATCTTTACACTGCCTGTTTTGAGTTGTGTGACAGAGATTCGATGCACTGTCTCATTATTTCGCTCATTCCTAACAAATTACCATGACACTGGAAATACAATGACTATAGTCAGTTGTGTTCTGTATTTGATTAGTGGACTTTTTTTTTCCTTTTTTAACTTTGTATGTCATGTCTTAGGGATATAATAAATGAGTTTGATGACTTCAGTTTGCCTGTTGTGTATAACTGCTTTTGTTTTCTTCTTCTACTACTGTTTGATTCTTTATCCCCCAAAGGTAGGAGGGGAACTTCACAAGTTGGGTAAGCATTCTGCTAGTTACTTGCTTTTGTCTTTCAAGGACGTTGTCTTTCAAGAGACATTAGTTTCTTTCTTTGGGGGCATTACTGAGCAAACCGTAGATTCCCTGGCATATTTTTGGCATGTGGGGTGGTGCATTAACTATTTTAGTCCAATTGGTTGCAATTTTTTTTTTTTTTAGTGGAAGTGTGGATTGCCAGATGGCAGTCTAAAAGAGGAAAATAGCAAATGTAACTATGGTTTTAGTTCCTTGAGGACACACACAAAAAGTGGCAAGTAACATATTTAGAATGTTCTTTCTTTCTAGCAATAGACACACATGTCTCTTGACATTTTGAAGTCTATTGTTTTTTATCCCCGTACCCCTTGCCCACAATTATCTTACAACTTATATTGTTTAGTTTGTATATCAGAATTTAGATCATAAATATTAACTTCTTAGCTTTGGACCACCCTATCTTAACTACTTCTGCAGTTTGTGCTAAATCATCAATTCATCCATGGCCTCCTGTTTTCTAGAATGGGAGTCATTTTGCCCCTGAGGGGATATTTGGCAATGTCTGGGACATTTTTGGTTGTCACAACTTGAGGGGCTACTAGAATCTAGTAGGTAAAGCCTAGGATGCTCTTAAACATCCTACAATGCCTCAGAGAGCCTCAACAACAAAGAATGATCCAGCCCCAAATGCTAGTAGTGCCAACGTTGAAAAACCCTGTTGTGGATTATCTCCTGAAACCCAGCTGTGTCTACCTTTTCCCTCTGGGTGGCACAGCCCACTAGTTTCTGGAAATTTTTTTTAGGCCAGCAAATAAGAGAAATTTTACTGCAGCGTGAGCCCAAACCTCTATAATCCCACACTTTAAGTTAGAGTAAAAAGGATAAGTACAAACCTAACATAAATGTTTATTGTTATACTTTGCTCATTTTCTTTAGGGAAATGTGAAAACTAGATTTATTTTTAATTTACAATGATGAAGAATTTTATAGGTTTTAAGTCCTTTGTTCTTATGTCTATAAGAGAAAAGAATTTAGGGAATGTAATCACTAAGTGCAAAGAAGTGGGCTTTTTTTAAAAGCTAAATTGAATTCTCTTCATTGTTTTAAGTCATGAGTCCTATTATTGGTAGTGGATCTTCCCACATTTTCCCACATTTTCCCAAATGAGATCGCCAGAGCTTTTTTATTTTGCAGCTGAAAACCCTATACCCATTAGACAATTCTTTCTCCCTCTATCCCCCAGCCCCTGATAACCACTATTCTATTTTATGCATTAAAGTAGAAAATAAAATAAATAA